TTACTTCTCATACTGTACAATAAAACTAAGAATTTCTTTTCCAAGAAAATCTTGTACAAATTTTTCTATACAGCAATTTGGTATTAACATATCAAGTGTCTGTATTCTTTGACCTAATAATTTTACATAGACGTATGTTTTTTGAGGAAATAATCAGTGATGTAAACAGAGATTATGTATAATGATGTTAATCACAGCCTTATTTATTATAATTAAATAAACTGACAACAATCTAAATATATAATGATTGAGAATGATTAAATTATGGTACATCTGTAAGTTGGGATATTACAAAGACATTATAAATCATGCCATCAAAAGATATTTAAAAGCATTAAATAAGCACTTCTAACTTACTCTATTTTGTTACATTTCATACATTTATGTAGACCTTTTAAAATCTTTTCTGGAAAACAGGATGGCTGAAACATGGCAGTAAGCAGGGAAGTAGAATACACATACCATAACAATACTGTAAGTAGGGGGAAAAAGCAGGTTACAAAACTGTTTAGAAAATATAATACCAATTGTTTTTAAATAAAAAGCATAGAAAAAATTTTTATACATTTCTATAATTTTGTAATGGGGACAGTCATTTTAAAATTAGAGCTACCATGACAAAAGGAATAGACTGAGAAATAATTGTGCAAAGAATTAAAACATGAATGCTTAGTGACTGCAAAAAACATAAATATCTACATCTTTATAATAATGAAATATATGATCAGGAAAAATGGTATCATTTTGAACAAGTACAAATATCAGAGATTAGCTGTCTGGGCATATTTGTACAACCTGTCCCCTGTTAAGCTTATACAAATATTGTTTTTATAATTACACAAGGGTTCAGAGAATTTGTTGTACAAAGGTTAAAACTCATCTACGGTCTCTAAAACAGCATTTGTATCAGTGGTCTACCTTCAGGAAAAAAGATAAGCATTTGCAAAATATGATATTTATTTATATAATGTACATGGAAGGTAGAAATAGATATATATAAATTACAAAACATATATAATTATATAAATTATGAGATATAAAAATAAAAGGATAAGATGTAAATGCAATAACATTTTAAATAACAAATTTTATTGATTAATGAATGGAAAAATATTTTAGCTCTTACAAAAAAATATTGATAATATCTATCAGTGAAAGCAAGGTGATTAAACCATGATATTAATTTTCAATCCCATTCACCAATTATATAAAGATTTTTGATGAAATGTGGCTAGTAAATTTTTCCTGATATCTAGCAATTATTTTTATAAGGTAATACATGCTCCATATTTATATATTAAACAGATTATTTGAAAACCAGCTGAAATCCTCTACTTCAGTGGGGAGATTTTAAAGATTAGAAAACTCTTTTACTAGGTTTTTAAAGTGGGCAGATATTCATTTCTATGAGTAAATTCATATAATGAGAAAAGCATTTCTAAAAATACACATCAAAATGATTTCGCTATAGCAAGTGTCAGCAAATTATATCCAGCCCAACACCTGTTTCTGTAAGTAAAGTTTTATTGGAACAGAACTACACCTGTTCATTTATATATTGCCAGACTGCTTTCATGATATAATGGCAGAGTTTAGTGGCTGCAACAGGGAGTACATGTGCATGACCTGCAAAGCTGAAAAGATTTGCTATCTGAACCGTTACAGGAAAAAGTGTGCCACGCTCTACTCCACAGCATCCATTTCCATCAAAAAAGCAGTTAACTTTCTCACCCATGTTTACCTTACAGAGTCAAATTAAGTGTTTTTATTTTTTCTAAAAATATTCTCTAAGTATCATACTATCGAAGACTACTTGTCATTCCTGAAAAGGACAAATCTCAAAGACTTTCTAACTCATCTGGAAGTTTAACAACTTCTGTGAGGTAAAAGAGATGTTGGTTACTCTATCTCTCTTTACAAATTATGGTAAAGACTCTATTATGGCCTGGTGCAGTGGTCACGCCTGTAATCCCAGCACTTTGGGAGGCTGAGGAGATAGGATTGCTTGAGGCCAGGGATCTCTCTTAAAAAAAAAAAAAAAAAAAGACTATTATTTAAGATAATATAACCTGTATATCTATTTAACATAGCTTAGGTAAAAGGGCAATTCATGGCAACATAATGCAAACAAACAAATGAGGGTGTGACTGTCAACTCCTTTTAGACCTACAACCTCCACTCTTTCCTCAGAGTATGTATTTTTTGTGTATAACTCATCTGACACACAGAGAGCTTTAATGTCAATAATATGTTAGCAAAATTAAATTACTTAAAAAAACTAAAATAGATAGGTAGAAAGAAAGATTCTATATTTTCTATTTCCCAACTGACAGATCAGTGCATATCCTAAGGGGTATATAGCCACTCTGTAGATCTCAAATCCAAATCACTGAAATTAATGTACAGTAAATGAAATATCATAATACCTAGAGCATGTCAGGTTCCATAATTAATCACTCAGTTTGCTAAAATTAGCTTAGGTCATAGCAGTACACGATGTGGCTATCTTATTCCTCATACTAATGCTAGGAATATTTTACTTGGATTAGCCATATGCCTTTTGCAGGTACTAGCAAGATGAGTGATTAAACTATCATTGTAAACAAAATTTTATATCTTCTTCCATCCACTCAATTTACAGAAATCCAACTTTCTAATCAAAGAACATTCATATATAAACATTTTCTTAAACCTATCCTCACAGATCTTAAACTCTAGTTTGATACTCCAAGACTGACAAGCTTTTTGACACTGCTTCATTATTCAGCACTTAATTGTTCTGTGCTCGTTGTGTAATCTAACAGAGAGAGCAGATGCTGAAAAATTAAGGAAAGACTTCACAGAGGAGGTGAGATTTTGGCCAAAAACTGAAAGGCAACACACAGAATGATAGTAAAAGGGATTTAATAGATACAGAGGAATCTGACAGGAGTGGGGGGTATAAGGATAGGCCTGAGAAAAATCGCTGGGAAGAGAATTAACAGGAATTAATGGGGTAACTGTAAAGATGTAAGACACAATGATGGAGAACAATGAGATACAATCTTAACTAGGAAAGGTAGAGTCCCATTACAGAATGTCTTGGAAGCCAGACAAGTGTTTAAATTAAATTTTATAGATACCAATTAATAAAAAGGGAATAGACTGCATAAGATTATTTTGGCATCTGTATTTGAACATATGGAATAGACAGAGACAGAAAAGCATAGATATTTAGAAAGAAATTACAGAGCTTAATGAGAGATTACAGTTAAAAAGAAGGAATCATCAAAGAATATAAAGTTTCTAGCCTGGGAAACTAAAAATGGAGATATCACTAAAATGAACAGGAAAGCTGAGAAATAAAGGATTGACAATGGGGAGGAGATGGTTTTAGACATGTTAGATTTAAATGTATATAAATGGAGATATCCTAAGGCTGTTCTATAGCGTAATATTGGGTTGAAGCCAAGATCCAGGGTAGGAATACATGGGTAGAGTGATCTATCAATACCTTATATTTACTTAGGGCTTTATCACTACACAGCCATATATTATTAATTTTGAGCCTCAAAACACAGGAGAATACAACTGTATTAACTCCCCTAAAAAAAAAAAAAAAAAAAAAACACAGGAGAGTAGAAGAGCAGAAACTACTACTTTCATTTCATAAATCAAGAAATTGATGGTCAGAATTAATGTAATTTGCCCCAAATCTAACAGTTTGTTAGCAGCAGAGTCAGGAAAATCCTGATTTCCACCCTTGTCATACTCCAAAAGCTTCCAAAAAGAAAGCAAAGCTCAAGGCCCTTCTTTCAAAAGGAGTCATCAGCATAGAGGCAACAAGCCGGTGAGAATGTATGATTCTTTGAGGGCAGGAGAATAGAGAAAGAAAGGATTCATAGCAGATATCCATAATTAATTAAAATGTGGAAGGAAGAGAGACCAACAAGTTGACAGGCATACTCAACAGAGAAGAGGGGTTAAAAAATCAAAACCAGAAAAGTGCAGAGTCAGGAAAGCCAAAAATGGAATAAGTACTTAGTGATTTTAAATGCCAAACAAAGCTAGAAGAAGAGGAGGGAGGATCTGGCATGGAGGTAACACATTTGATTGCTGGAATTTAAAAAAAAAAATTAACTCTTAAAATTTTAGAGAATAAAATAAAATAAATAATTTAAAAAAATAAATAAATAAAATAAAATAATTCCTTCAAAATGTTTATGACTATCAATATGCATTTGGTACACCAATAAGAGGGATTATATTTTATTTTTCATACATTTAACTTCTATTTTATAAGTTATATTCACAAAAAATGTTTTCAATGTGGAAAAATTACAGTCTAAGAAAATAAAGCATCTATTAGTCAAATACTAATCAAATAAAATAAAGCATCTATTAGTCAAATACTAATCAAATAATAGAAATTAATTAATCAAATAGAAATTTATTTCATCTTTTAAATCACAACTCAAATATATTTCACCATAACCTGATCAGTTATTTCACTTTTTACTTGGCAAGAAAATATTTTCAGCTTTTACCTTCTCCATATCTGAGAGACTTTGATAAACATAGTTTATATTTTTTGCTGTAATCTGTATTACCAATTGGAAGATTCAGTAAAGGAAAAGAGGAGAGCTATAATAAAGGTAAACTATAGATATATGGAAAGCAAAATTATATATGAAGTAATTTACCAACTTTAATAACAAATGCTGTTATATGGTCAGTCTTCTGATCATATATTTAACTTCTGTCTTAAATGGAGCTAGCATGCAAAGAAAAGTGAATTATTTGATCCTTGTCCTAACATGACAGATATAAAATATTTTCAACTCAGATCAACCTTTATTAGTGACATTTGCAGAACACAGCACTGTCTTTGCATGAATCAAGTTTTAGAAAGATCCTTGGAAATTATATCTATCTTAAAGTTTTAAAAAATGTAATAGGACCGTCAATGAATTAAAAATTTAAAAGACACAAACAAGCAAATCAAACCACTTGCTACTGACCTTGTTCAAGTCTGAAGAGGGTCTTTTCCAGCTTTTCCATTTCGTTTAGAAGTAAAATTCGAATCTGTTTACTGTGTCCCATTTTGGCTTCTAGAGGATTTGAAACCTTTCAGAAGAATTAAAAGAACTCCAAAGTCGAATAAGTTACCCCTACAAAACAAAAAGGAGTTAAAATAAAGAAAATAATTATTACCTTTTACTATCCAGAGCGGACAGTGGCACTTACATGGTCTAACTGTGTTTTAATCCTAGCAGAGCAATGCAAAAGAATGAATCTTATAAATGAGACCGGAGAAGGCCAATTAATAGGTGTTTTCTCCCCTCGAGCACAATGAGTGAGACCTAAGCAAAAACTGTACTATAGATGCTTATGATTAAAAAACAAAACAAAACAAAAACCCTAAAGCATGCTCAGAGAAAAGCAATACTTTAGGAAAGCCCGGAGTTGGGAGGAAATACCTAGCCCCAAAGCAAAGGGGCTCTGAAGACTCCTAATGGCATACTTCTGCTTACAAGAGATTAGTCTGCTCAAAGATAACAGGTGGGAGATCTCCCCATTCCCAAATTCGGGTTGGAAGCCACCAATGGGGAGGTGAGAACAGAGGGAAGCAGTTGTTGCCCCTGGAATAGCTGCCGTAGCCAGAGGATGTACGGAGAGAGCTATAGATAGAAAGAATGCGTTTCCCCGCGACGCCAGCGGCATTCCTAGCACTTACGCCGAGCAAGTTATCCGGGCGGCTTCTGGGACACTGCAGGACCTGCGACTCTAGTCTTAGGGTCGGAGGAGGGGACGGGAAGGAAAGCAAAAGGGGAAACGCTGGCCGTCCAGCCGCGGGGAGAAGCCGCAGCCTAAGGAGGGCCGGACGCCGTGAAGGGCAAAGGGAGGGGCTGCGGCGGCCGGGGCATGGGCCGGGCGGCTGTGTGAGGGGCAGGGACCGTCCCGGCGACTCCGCCTCGCGCGGGTCCCCAGGAGACCCTGGAGCTCCCAGGGGGCGGAACGCGCCCTCGCTCAGGTGGGAGCGGACCGGTCCTCTCACCCACTTCCGGACGGCTCCGACCCGCTCGCCGCGACCGCTAGTCTCGCGAGAGCGTGGGCGCCGGGGCCCGGGGCTAGGAGGCGGCTATGGCCGCTGCTGTGATCCTCCCTTTGTTCTTGCCACAGGGAAGGTGCAGCGGCGAGGGTGCGCCCCTCCTTTGACAGCCTGCAAGCTCACGGTTGCAAGTTAAAATCCTGCGGTACCAGGCTGCGAGCTAGGTTGAGCTGCGCAGCGCGATCTTTTTGTGGAAAGGGCTGAGTGGTGTAGGGACCCTGCGGCCTCAAGGTCACATGAGGCCCTCCAGACCCCCGAGTGCGGCCCCTCCACCGAATCCAAACTTCACATTTGTTCTGTAAAATTTGGATTCAGTCCAAAGGCCGCACTCAAGGATCCAGAAGGCCACAAGTAGCCCCCAGGCCACAAGTTCCCCACCCCTGTACGTGCTAACAGACAGGGCACATGCTCCTGAACGCAGACCCGGATGAGTAGGTAGGTGAAGTGTGGCCAGTCTGCAGACAATACAGAGTGCAAATACCAACCTTATTTACAGCATCCAGTTGTACCTAATGTACACCAGATAGACCTGAAGATCGTCTGAGATTAAGCTGCACTTATTTTAGGTCAGTAATTCAGGACTCTGCAGATGCCTAAGGAGATTTTTATGCCTGAGGGAAAAGGAAAACCTAACTTGCAGGGCTCTTGGAGGACACCTAATTAATGATCATGAAAAAACGGACAAGAGGACCCGGGAAGGTGGCTCATACCTATAATTCCAGCACTTGAGGAGGCTGAGGCAGGAGGATCACCTGAGGCTAGAATTTCTAGATCAGCCTGAGCAACATAGCTGGAGACCCTATCTCTAAAAAAAGGAAATTTAAAAATTAGCAGGAGGGGAAGCGCCTGTGGTGTGCACTATTGGAGAGGCTGAGGCAAGAGGATCGAAGAAAATGTACAAAACGTTTGGATTAAGTTAGTGGGGTGTGTACAAGAATCTAGCTTTCTTTATTGTGGAATTGTTGTAAGTAAAAGAAGGATAATGGGTTTAAAAAAAACATGCCGAAATATTTGTTTGTTTAAGTAGACTTCTAAGGATGGCTAATTGCACATGGTTCAAAACTGAGTTTGGGAACCCGCAGCTCATGTATGATCACTTACTATTTGCCAGGCATATAGGTGCTGGGAATGCAGCAATAAAACAGCTACTGCCCTTGTGAACTCCTACATTTTATAGATTATATAGGATAGTAAAAGGTTGTGAGAAATAAAGCAGGGAAAGGAGAAAGCGTAGAAGAAAAAGCAGAAGGAGATTGGCAATTTTAAATACAGTGGTCAGTGAAGTGATGTCAAACTGAAAGAAGGAAGAAGTTGTCCAGGGTATAGGATTACATGCAGAGAGAGATACAAGATGCACAAGGCCATGAGGTAGTAGCATACTATGTGAATTAAAGAAGGCCACTAGTGAAGAAGAGAGTGGTAAGAGATTAGAACAGACAGATGGTGTGGGGTGGGCAGCCAGCTCTTGTAAGGTTTTGTAGGCCATTGCAAGGATTTTTGATTTTTACTGTGGGAAAGCTTTTACTTGTTACTGTGGGAAAAAGAGCCATTGGAAGATTTTGAACAGAGTGGCATATGTTGATTGACCTTTTAAAAGGATTAATCTGCAACTTGATGAGGAATAGCTGAATAAACTGTGGAGTGTAGCAAGGAGACCAGTTAAAAAGCTGTTTTAGTCAGCCGAGCAAGAGAAAGTAAATTTTGAGTGTGTGTGTGTGTTTGGGGGGAAAGGTATTGCTATGAAAGTGGTGAGAAGTTACTGAATTATGGATCTATTTTGAAGGCAGAACCTATAGGATTTGGTAGTGTAAAGAAAGGAGTCAAAGATGATTCCAGGATTTTTAGTTTGAGCAACCAGAAAGTACTGTTCAATAGAAATATTAAGTGCCACATAGGTAATTTCAAATTTTTAAGTAGCCATATTTTTAAAAAGGTTAAATTAATTTTAATAATATAATTTATTTAACTCAGTATATCTAAGATATTATTTCAACATATAATCAATATAAAAAGTTATTAATGAGATATTTTACATTCTTTTTTCATACTATCTTCAATATCTGTGTGTATTTTACACTTTCAGTATTTCTCAGTTTTGACAAGTACATTTCAAATGCTCAACAGCTTCATGTGGCTAGTGGCTGCCAAATGCACAGTACAGAAGAAATTGCCATGTACTGAGAGAGAAAGAAAAAGGGAACAGGTGGGATTGGAGGGTGAAAATCATAAGTTTTTTGGTAGACCTTGAAATTTGAGATAACTGTTAAACATCTTAGTGGATTTAGCATTTGTAGCCCTGGTCTCCAAAGCAGTGTTTTTCAAATTGTGAGTTGTAACCAATTGGAGGATCATAAAATCAATTTATTAGTAGTAACCAGCAATTTTTACAATAAAAAAGATTCAAATGTATTACATCTAGTAAAAGTATTAGTTCATAAAACTTCTGTTTCTGTTACTTATTTTTTTATGTGCTGAGTCATATACTTCTATGGGGGTTCATGGTTAAAAACAAGATGGAAAGCGACTGCTCTAGAATACATGCTGCATAGACCATAATTCATGATTATAAAATGGGACCTAAGGTTGAATCCCAGCTCTGCCACTAACTGTGAAGTTTTGAAAGGTACTCAACCTCTTTGTGCTTTGATTTTTCCAAAAGTAATAAGAGGATAAAAATATTATCTACTGTTAATTAAATGAAGCCTTAAAACTGTGCCTGATATATACCAAGTACTGGTATAAAAATAAATGTTAGCAGAGTAGAACCCTAACTATGTTGTCAAACACAGATCATGTTTATGTTTGTTTTCAGGCACTGCTTTTTCATATTCTATTCTACTTTCTCTCTCTCTTGTGACCATCTCATCACACTACCCTCCTGTTGATCACTGTTTTCCAGGGCTTCAAAATTTGCTTTTCCTGCCCTTTTTCCTCCCCAATAAAACTCTCGCTTTATTGCCCAATGTTTCAGCTACATATAGGGAGTAAAACACATGAATGACATGAATTCCTTTAGCAGTGATTTATTCTTACACAAATGCTTGACTTTTAAAAGAAGATTTGTTAATCCAAATCATTTTAATCTTGGAGATTTCATAGTGTGAAAGAAGTGAATAATGTTAAGTAATGGAACCATTATTTAATGTTATGTGCCTCCAAGATTAATTTTACAAGCCACATAGTATCCTTTTTAAAAAGTAAAGTCACGCTAGTGTGCTATTTATGAAGTTCTGGAATGCCAGTGAATTTGCAGTCTAGGGCTACAGTGGGGCCATGTGCGGCCTTCATTTTGGCACACAGTTGTCTTGTGCCTGTCCTGTGCATGACAGCGAGCTATATATACACAATAATCTCATGCTGTAGTTGTCAAGAGAAGACTCTCCTTGAAACATATGATGGATAACCTCAACTATTTGACAGTGACCCTAGTTTTTTCTGAAGCATTTATGTTAATGCACTTGGGGAGTGGGATAAGGGCTGTGGTCAGAAGAAGCTTTCTTCAGGTTTGTGTATAGGTATGTATGTTTTCTGAAAGGAAAGGAGTTATTAACTATAGTTAGGTCCTAATCCTGTGATCTTCTGGATCTGAAATGGGTGATGCTGCCTTATTTGGTTTTTATACTTGTCAGCATTTTCTGTATATTTTATTTTATAGCAATATATAATGACATTATTATAATGTCATAATTTTGTTTTGTGAAATTTGAAATTGTGTTTTCAAAATCTCTTCTACATTGAACAATTTATTCTGTACTTTTGAAATACCCAGACATAGCCACTGAAGAGAAAAGGGGAAGATAGCAAAAGAAATAGAGCTAAAGTCAGAGAAGTGGAGGACCGGAATATAATGACATAGAGGTATGGAAGATCAGAGAGAGATTTTTCAAAAAGGAGATAGTACAACTTAAAGAAAATAGGCTTTGGAGATAAACCTTGGATTAGTTTTAATCTCTCCGACTCACAGTTGATTAACCCATAAAATAATGAGAACAACACCTTATTTGCAGGGTCAGTATGAAGATTAGATGAAACAAAGAAAGCAGTCGAGGTGTCTAGTATAGCCGTTAGCCTATTGATTGGCTTTTAGTATAAATGACAGCTTTAAAAAAGAACAGATGATGTCTATGTCTAGTTGTCCTTGCTGGGCCAAGGATGGTAGTCAGATAATTCAGATGAAGAGGCTCCCAGGGCATGACGGAGGCAAAAAGTTTCAGAAGGTTTCTTACTCTATGAAGAGGTGATATAAGGGTAAATTCAGAAAGCAAAGTCATATAACCCAATGTTTCAGCCCAAATCACAAAAAACAGAAAAGGCAGAACCTAAAAATAAAATAAGGATTAGTCAGTATATGATAAATATTTGTTAGAGATTTATTGAGATTTACATATATAAATATAAAAATGTATTTCTATTCAAAACAAAACTAAACTAAAACTTAGGCTCTTAGAATTTGCACAAGAAAAGTCATTTTAACAGTTCCTAAGCGGCGGGGAGTGGTGGCTCACGCCTGTAATCCTAGCACTCTGGGAAGCCGAGGTGGACAGAT